CTGAGGGCTGCTGGGAGCAGGGGGCGGGGCTTGTTGCATGTGCCCGCCCCCTGGGCTCCTTACTGCCGGAGCTCTGCTCCTGTGCGCTCCCGCAGGAAATGACCCCTGGGAATATCCCGTGAGAAACCACTGAGATTGAATTCCAGATGGCTGTAGGGTTAAGGTGGATCAAGAAATATTTTTTCCAAAGAGGCATTTACTCTGCAATTCTTGTTTGTCTGAGACTGACCCACCATTTCTGGGAATTTGCTGAGTTCATCAGCACCGCTGTCATTGGTTCCACAGAGATTTGGCTTCAGTTTGATATGCACGTGACATCACTCTCCCTGAGGGTCCGCTTTTTGGGTTTTAATGGTTTGGGGCTAGGGTTGCCAATCCCCAATTGGGGGCAGGGGATCCCCTGGTTTGGAGGCCCTCCCCCTGCTTCAGGATTTTCAGAAAACTGGGGGGGGGTGTCCCCTGGGCACTCCATTATGCCCTATGGAGACCAGTCCCCATAGGGTATAATGGAGAATCAATATGGGGGTATCTGAGGCTCTGGAGGGGCTGTTTTTTTTGAGGTAGAGGCACCAAATTTTCAACATAGCATCTGGTGCCTCTTCTCAAAAAAACCCCAACAACCCGTTTCAAAAAGATTGGACCGGGGGGGTTCCACAGAGCCCCCAAAAGAATGTGCTCCCATTCTCCATGATTTCCAGCGGAGGGAAGGCATTTAAAAGGAATGTTGTCCCTTTAAATGTGACGGCCAGAACGTCTTTTAGAGCTCAATTGTGTTTCTTCCCTCTCCTCTCCCAGAGGCTCCTGGGAAGTCCCCTGCTGACTTGTCAGCCTCACCTGGCAACCCTAGGGCCACCGTCACCGCTGTGTGTCAAGTGTCCTCAAGTCACAACCAATTTATGGCAACCCCGTAAGGCTTCCAAGGGAAGAAATGAGCAGAGGCGGTTTCCCAATTGCCTGCCTTTGCATTTCAAAGCGGGACTTTCTTGTTAGTCTCCCATTCAAGTTCTAACCAGGGACGACCCTGTTTACCTTCCAAGACCGGGCCAGACTGGGCGATCCAGGCCAGGGCCTCAATCTCTGGATTGCCAGTAAGTGAAGGGCGGGGTATAAATCCAATCTCCTCCTCTTCTTCTTCTTCTATCCAGGCCAGGGCTTCAATCTCTGGATTGCCAGGTGGCAACTTCATAGACACCAGCAAAGGGGAGAATGCCCCCCCAGGATGTTGCACTGCAACAGTGACGAGAGCTACACAGGTGACCCCATGTGGCCGCCTTGCAAAACACCCTGTTTTGCTGCAGTCTTGTTTTCTGCTGTCCTATTCAGTCCAGTTCTGTTGACAGAGTTCATCATGTGAAATGTTACTTGACACTACATAATATCCAGCACAAGGATAAAGTTTACCCTCTAGGCCCTCTCATCTCATGGTCTTCAGTGGCTGGAGTTGTCCTTGACCGAGAACTGGATGGTTAACATGATATGAAACCAGCCTGAGGTAGCCACGCCCACTGTTTCCTTGTTGCTGAGGACAATCCTAGAATCAGTGGAAATGAAAGTTTGAAAACGCAGTGAAAGGAGGGGGGGGGGAGAAAGCTACAATGCCCCTGGGGTTGCTGTGCATCTAAATTCCACTACAGCCTGCTAGTCGTGTCCAGGCAAGGTAATAAAGCACGCCCTAGGTGAAGACACTAAGTTTAAGGTCTAGAAAAGCACAAAACTGCAGTCAAATCTGCGCTTCTTCAAGGAGGAGACTCCTGTACTACCTTAAAGACAAGCAGCCTTAAAAGGTGATCTCATGCAATACTTTACTCAGAGGTAAACCCCAGGAGTTTTATGAGACTTGGTGTATAATATTGCAGTTTTTATTACAATGTGGGTTTTCAGGGTTCAGGAAATGCAAGAGATTCAGTCTGTCCATTTTGATGCGAAGATAAACATTTGCATA